TTTTACATTTTACAAGTGCATGTTGCTCCTGATACTTGTATTGTCCGTATATAGATATGAACAGTAGGAGTAGATGAATTGTTAAGCAGATATTTTTGTTCTGTCCGGGCTGAAGATGTTTATCAAACTGGAAGCGCTCAGCACTAACTGCCTATAGCCGCATGGGATAACCTTTATTTTTAAACATGCGTACTGGTGACGACTCTACCAGTGGCGAAGGTGATGTAGTATCCTTGCAAAAACAGTTTTGCTCGTGTAGACGCAAAATATACATTGAAATAAAGAAAAGATAATATGCTCCAGTTATTCCGAATTTTGCAGGAAAATATTATTAAAAGTTACGAGATACGTCTATAAATATTACATCATTATATTATTGCCACATTCCCGAGCCTGACTGGAACTCTTATGATTTTCAGAGCCTCAAATCAGTTTTATCTGCAAATTCCTTGGCAACATTTCTGGTGTAAACATCCAATACTTTGATAATGCTTGAAATGTTCCAGACTGGACAGGATCTTGTGACAGCGTGGACACTGTCACAGTCGGGTGGACGTGGCTGCTGGGCATGGGTCTGCTGATATGCCATCTGAAAACATGTCTGTTTGAATCTCTGGTGTTTCTTGGGACGGAATGTGACATTGTAAAACATTGCACCTATTATATTTTATATTTTCACAGTTCAACAAAAATATGTCAGTTTAACCGGTTGTGTAAAAATACATGAGCACATTCTGTGACTGTCTTTGTTTGAGTATAATGTCCAGAGGTATTGCATCATCCCTCTGACTCACCTACTAGTGCTAAACCCATTAGTGGAGAGGTGTCTGGCCAAACCTCTGTTTAACAGAGTAGCATCTGAGTATTTACGCTGCCTGACTGTTCCACCTCTCATATTATCTCCATAGGACTCTGTGGTGACATCGCGACAGGAGGCCTTCAAGGACTCAGTAATTAGTTACTCTTAGAGTCCTTTGTGTACGTGTGTTTGTGGATCACATGTGTACTCTCATGCCAAACGGAGAAAGTGCCAGTGAGGTCATTTCTGTTTTGATTTCGCTGCTTTAGAAATTAATTTTGAAATGACTGACAGGCTCCCTGTGTGTGAGTGCTGCTTTCAGACATGCACCGAAGTCCGGACATTTTCCTAAAATGTGAGAAAGCAAATGTCCAAGTCAGTTGCTGTGGATATTTTCCTGCCAGTCCCCTGGTAACATGTCCCGAAAATGTCCCAAAGACACAAAACTGAAAAAAAGGTTTTACAAAGAAACTGTATATGTAGTTTTATTCTAACTGCAGTCATGCTGTGGAACGTCTGTGTGTTGCGGCTCCCACATTAGAAAGTGACAAATAATACTAACACAACCAGAACACCTTTTACCACAGATTAAACACTAATCCCATGTTCAGAGTACTTTCTATTGGTGGCGTAATGCACTGTGTGACATTTCTCCACCTCGGGGTTAACTGTTTTCACACTGCCCATGTAGCCATGATGATATTGTTCAAACACTAATGCTGCTCTAACTGCCGCTGCCTGAGGCTTTATGCAGTCGATCAAGGTGTGAAAACACACTGCGTGTTACCTCAACCCAGAGGCCGCTGTATACGCACATGCATGCACATATTACAAGCAATGCGATGCACAGACGTGGTGCAGCAGAGCCCTAAATGTATGCAGCATCTCCTGGGTTACCTACTCCTGCATGATAAGAAGTGCTGGAGCACTGTGCACATACTACTCACAGCGTACACTGCAGCAGTAAGTCAGTGCCGCTGGGTTTTTAAGGTTAAACTTGATCTGCAAAGGTTACAACAGCATTATGCAAATACACCATCTCACTGCATCTACTCAGAATTATCGATGGATGGTTTTAGTAAACATTCCAAGCAGCTCTGGCTTTTTTTTTTTTTTTAACAGGTTTTCATTGATCCATCACTGTTGGTTTTATGGATTCTGGGTGGTTTAGGTTGAAAAGCTCATTCTACTGTTACATCCTCAGTGAATCAGTGAGGTTTAAACATGTTTTGCCTGAGGATTGTTGTCTTTACCTGTAATACTGGTTCTCTGAGGGTTTTTCATCCGCTCTTGTACTCAACCTCACAGAAATATCTTAAAAGGCGACTGAATAAAGCCTCATCATAAAGGAAACCATTCTGTGCCTCTTTCAACTTTTACTTTGGATTTATTTTAAGTTTGTTTTAATTTAATTAGCCTAAATTAATATCCTCCTGTTTTCATCAACTGAATCATCATCTTGTTTTTTCTGCTGAGTCTAAGAAACAGTGAAAACTGACTGCCCGAGGTGTTTCTTTCAGCTGCTTCAATTATTCAGACCAAATCAAAAATATTAATCAACTGGACAGATATCCACGAAACTGAGTGAATCCAGGATCTTTTTTTTTCCATCACTTTCCTTAACATTGCAAAATTGGGAGAATCATGGATCCTGAGGGAAAAAAAGTATGCACATTTAGAGGACTGGTATTTATGAGGCCGTTCAGTTTGGTTTAGCTTGATTGAATTTAAAGGACTTTTTTAGTGCCGTTCTAATTTTATCTGCAGCGATCAGTGTCTGGTCTGTTTCACTTTGTCAACAAGAAGAGGAATCTAAATCTTTTATAGGTTTTTGATTTATTATTATTATTATTATTTCTAGGCTGCATTGCTCTGCCTGAGGTTAGTGTGAGAGAAAGGCCTGTCAGTGTGATTATGCTAATGAAGCGGATGTCGACGATGATCAGAACTGTCAAAAACAAGACACGTTGCATGTCGGAGATCTCGGCACCGCCACAGAGCTGCTGACAGTGACATGCGACGTCACGTCGGCAAATGTTCACCATGTTTGTGCCACGAGTTTCTCTCGCTCCGAACATCAAGTAAAAGTTCTCTGTTTGATCATTTTTCTTGCCAAACAAAAACCCATGTGTCCTCTGGATCCGTTCCAGTCGACTAGAGATTCACCTCTAGAGGGAGCTTTGTGTAACCTGTGTGTGATCTGATTGGCTCGCAGCAAGGAAGGAGAGACAGGAGCTTCTGCACACAGGCGGCCGTATAAGGAGATGGGCTGTGACCTGAGCTTCTGATGGACATCAGTGCAGTAAAAGCCTTGAGTGACTTGAGGGGGCGGGTGTTGTGGTTTTAGAAGACAGAAAAAAATTCTCCCTCTGGCTTTCATCAAGCGTGGCAGGCAAGAGAGAGGAGAGAGGGGAAAACAGAGGGGTGGGGGGGGGCGACACGAACGGAGACTGACTTCTCCAACCACAGGAAAATAAAGTATTTCTGTCCTCTTTTGCAAAATAGTTTCAATAGGAATGATTTTGCTTGACTGATGAGTTTCAGTAGCATCACCACTTGGCCGCTCAGTCTGAGTCTCTGTGGCTGGCGTGTGCTGCAGTTCGGTGGTTAGAGGCTAAAGTAAGCAGACAGACACAAGGCGGACGCTTGAAAGGTTTGCCGTGAAAAAAGGCCTCTCCTCCCCCTCATCCTCCCCGTGTATGGAAAACATATGGTGTCTCAGGTAACACAACTGCTGTGTGATTGTCTGTGCATGAGAGGAGTGAGAGTGAAACGGCTACGGTTGAATAGGTCCAGCTCCAGATGGTCCTTTTAAGTTTGTGATATCAGTTTGACGATTTCAAAAAAAAAAAATTTGATTCAAATCTCATCTGATATTTTTCGGCTCAGATCGCTTGGCGTTGAAGCGAAGCCTGTTTATATCTTATCTCACACTGTCAAAATCCAGTCTGGAAAGTCTGCGTCGCGACCAGACAATAAAAAAAAAAAAAAAAGAGCATGTTATTATTTCCCATAATCCCCTTTCCCCCTTCTCTTAAGCGCCCCCCCCCCTTTACTTTTTTCCATTATTTCTTTTTTCCTATCTCCCTCTCTCCCTTTGACTATATGTTGCAGCCATGTAGGGCAGTGCTGCTCCTTAGTCAACGGGTCAGGAATGCATGCGTGGACTTAAGGTTGCTCTGTTTTCCGTTCTGATCTTAATCCACTGACTGCTCTCATCCTTCTCTCCATTTATTGGTGCATCGATAGTGTGTGTTTGAACTTCACCGGCTCGACGAACCCCTGAATGATACAACAATACACCCTCACTGTGTCGGTGCTGCCACAATAGGAGCTTAAAATCTGTTAAGTCCGTAAATGTTCATATTTTCACAGGTCTAATCATGTGAGAGTATTGTGTAATGAGATCCTGCTCAGTTGTTTCAGGGTTTATTCAGCTAGAAACATGGCATAGCAAGAAAAACAATGTTGTTGCTTTTATAAACCGCGCTGCCTCTGCCCTAAAGCTATGTCTGGAAGAAAAGAAAAAGATGCGTTCGTAAAAAGACATCCTTGTTAGTAGAATATCTCGGCCCCCGGTCACTGCTCAGCTTTTCCTTTTCTCACTCATTCAAACTTAAAACGTCTTGTTAAAACACAGTTAGGGCTGATTCCCACTCTGCCAGATCATAAGCTGTAATTCTCTTCATTTGTAATGTGTGTGACTGTGCTCTGGCCTGTGATTAGACTGCAGGACACACCCTTTTGTGGCTGAGTACAGGCTACTGCATGTTTACATACCTGCAAGTCCTAACAAGTACATTTAGGCTTTGATTTAACCTAGACATACTAGTCTAAGGCCTAACCTGTGAATTCTGATGGCTTATCATGGTTTTGATGGTTCCTCTTTTATCACAGGCGACAGAAACCGTAGCGGACGAAAAAAAACCCACAATCAGCTCACACCCGTTTCTTCCAAACACACAATTAGCCTCACCGCAGCGAGCGTGGCAGTGAACAAGTTCCCCAGATTTTTCCATCCAGCCCCCTCTATCTGTGTGTCGGGCCCAGGCCCCAGAAGCTGTCTGTCTTGCAGATGGGCCTTTTTAGCATCAGCTGGCTGTTTTACAGCCAGTGGACGCAGTCACTGCGGATGAACAATGAGGAATCAGGCTAAAGGATTAGAGAAGGAAAGAGCCTGTTTGCTCTGTGGCTTCTTAGTTGCTCTGTCTAATTAAAAAGACTTTCTGGAGACTGTGTGTCTCTAGGCGTGACCCAACCTACATCCGGCCCACGGCACAGACCAGACCAGTGGTTAACGGTGTTGGATGCTCTGTGTAATCCTGCCCGGCCTAGTGTGGAAGAAGAAGCCCTGACCCCAAATCCACCGGCCTTTTCCCCCCCTTTTCACTCAGTCTTTATCCATCCTCTCATTTTCTTTCACTCTGTGACTTTGCTATAAAGGGATTTTGTAAAACTCCGTCTGCAGAGTCACCGCACACACAGGCACACACACACACACACACACACACGTATAATAATTCACTGCAGCAGCAGTACAGTCATAAAGAATCTGCAGAGAATCCTGCCGCTCATATAGTTGTAACAGTGGAGAGGGGAAAAAAAAGTACCTGAGGCAATGAAGTCCCAGCTGATACACAGTTAATCTGAATTATAGATGAACTCTAAAAGACAGGCAGAAATACAGGAACCAGTGTTCACGCAGTTCGGCTGTAAACAAGTCACAGTTAACATGTCATGGTTAGTATTGAACTTTCTGTATGTCCACCCATCCCATATGCATCCCTGTGTCTCAAACTGTGTATCGAATGTTCAGAGTCTTAATAATAGATGTGTTTTCTGTAAATATTTCATGGTCGGCTGACTGAAAACACATGCCTGTCAGAGATATGGAGGTAGAGGGAGGGGGGGGAGGATTGCATGCAGGGAATGGAGTGACAGAGCGGCGAAGTAGTGAGAGAGAGTGAAATTTAATAGGCTGGATTTTAACCCCCTCATTTTACCTTCATCGGGACGCGGCAGCCACTGTAAAGAGGCTCGCTGAGTACATATGTTAAATCGTCTCCTTCTCCTCTCCCTCCCTCCCTCCTCCCCCCACCTCCCTGCTCCCACAGGGCTCTCAGGATTCGACAGGAGGACAGGAGGGTCTGGTGGCCCCACCCTTCACAGCATTCCCCCCTCCACCCCCACCTCAGAACGGGCTCCCAGGGACGGAGTTTGTCCCGGGGGCCATGTTTGGTGCCGGGGGCCAAGGAACAGCAGAGGTAGGGGCTGGCGCTAATGGAGCAACCACTGCAGCCACCACCAACAGCAGCAACAACGTGAGTACTCGATATTCACAAAGCCTTAACTGGTACTTAAGTGAAATGTCAATGGGATTATTTATTATGATGTTCAAAGACAAAACAGTATTTGTTGAGGAAAGAAACATCTTCCCCTTTTCTGTTTTTCCAATTTCTAGACTGTATATTCTGCAGTTGTGAAATATGCACGATTATCAGCAATTTAATCAAATTAAATGTATTGTTACACTTTTAAATGACAGTTTCCACCAAACTGAATTATCTCAGCTGTATCGCATGATCCCGGAGGATAAATCCTAATCCAACACTATCCTAATAATAAAAGCAGCATAACTGTGGAGGTCGATTCACATGGTAAACGTTAAAAATATATTCTTTAACATCAACATTATGACAGTGTCGCTGTGAGCGTGTAACTCAAAGTTAAATGTACCTAAGTGCAGCCTAACGAAGCATTAGCGTGGCTGTTAGTGTTGTTATTTAACGTGAACCCCATAATTATATTTCATTTAGGATGCAGCTGATATTATGTTTATTTCCTGCTTGTGATGTAGATGATGTTTTCCTGCACCCTCTACTCATCAACTCAGTGTGTTTCCATTAAGGTTACGTAAATAAGAGGTGTAGCAGCACAGTTTGTACCGAAGAAGAAATAAATACACTGAGCGCTTAATGTGAAAATAGGCTTAGAACTATAAGGGCACATATCCATAATTAGTGAAACGTCAGATAAAAAGGAATAAAACTTTGATCAGAACAAAGAAATGAAAATAAATATCACAATAACGATAAAAATCAACGTCTTCATAAAGTTTTCTCGTCTCTCTCCCCCACAGGGAAAGGCGGACGAGGCATCACAGGGCGAGGCGGGTGTACAGTGTGGCACGGGAGGCACAGGAGCAGGCGGCTCCACTGGTGACTCCTCGGAGGCCAAAGGGACCCCCAAACGCCTCCACGTCTCAAACATCCCCTTCCGCTTCCGGGACCCAGATCTCAGGCAGATGTTTGGGGTAAGAAGTTGGGAAGCTAGTGGGGCCTCTTTTTTTTTTTTTTTTTAACTAAGATCAATAAATCAGTGTGGACACCCCGGCAGAGGGGCAGAGAGGGGCGGCCTCTGGGTGGGTGGTGTGCAGAGACAGACAATGTTATGTTGTTATGTGTGTCAGTGTGTTAGTATAAGTGACCAACTTAGAAGGAAGTAGGCTACAGAGCTGGGTTGGAGGCCGAGGGACTGACAGAAACACACAGTGGAGGAAGTTGTCTTTGGTGTAACAGTGACCCCTAGTGCGAAGTATCTGCAACTTACACAATGTCAGGAGCTGCAGTGAATAAAGATCTAACATCAAAACAAATCAAAGAGGCTAAACATTTTATTTTTTTGACTAATTTCTTTTTTTCAAATTTACTTGCAGCAATACGGGAAGATTCTGGATGTAGAGATAATTTTCAATGAGAGGGGTTCAAAGGTAAGTTCACAGACTTCATCCGATCCCCTGAAACAAGTGTGGACTGTTGATAAGTATTCCTGCCGGCCATGTTTTTACCCTTGGACTCTGTGCCCGTGGTATCAGCACGCCACACTGATAATTATGAAGCCGCAGTCATCATTGAACATTGTCAGAATGGACCCCAAGTCACCGCCCACCTCTCTAACCTCTGCTATGCACCACAGGGATTTGGCTTTGTGACGTTTGAGACCAGCGCAGACGCAGAGAAAGCCAGGGAAAAGCTCCACGGCACATTGGTGGAAGGTCGTAAGATTGAGGTAATTTTCCTCTCTCTCTCTCTGTCTCTCTTCCTCTCTACTGTCTTCTGTCTGTACTCCCATCGTAATTCTGCTTGAGCACTCACTGCTAGCTAGCTCCCATCCTCCCTTTAGTGACATGCTCTGATGCAGCCCACTGGTATCCCACTCCCTGGTCCTCTGCAATGTTTTTGAATTTAAAAAGATTTGTTTCCTCCTTTTTTGTTGTTGTGGTGAGAATGATTGGGGGTGCAAGAACACTATATAAGGCATGCTGGGTATTTTCCCTCTGCAGCATTTTTTTTTTTTTTTCACATTAAGCTATTGCCTCTTCACCTTTTTTTTTTTTTGTTTGTTTTCCACTGATTCACAACTTGTAGCCACACTGATTGGAATGATGTTTTTGTATTTGGCACCGGAAGGCACAAGAGGAACGCAGTGAAAGGATGATGCATGGCAGAGTGCCGTCAGATGCTCTTTATTTTTTTCCTTCCCTAGTGTAGAAATCCTTCTGTGTTCCCCTCTCCCGGTGTTGTGGCTAAGTGGTTGTGACAAGCTTATGGCTCCTGGTGCAACAGCAGCATGCCGGGAATCACAGCAACACTGACGCATGTTCACTTTATGAAAGTCTGGGTTCTTGACAAAGATCTGTACACTTTTTTTTTTTTTCCATGTGTGTTGAGGTCTTTTATTTTGATATGATTCAATTTTATTTTCAATACGTGACATAAGCATGTGCTGACTTTTTGAAAGCAGTTTCTTTAATTTAATCTGGGTTTCAATCAGCCAGTCGTTCATTTTGGATCTCCTGATGCTCGCCACCGTAAGCCGGGATTTCTGCATGGGCTTACTGTGGGGATTTCCTCGTGGTGTGTGTGTGGGTGTGGGTCGGTTCTTGCATGATGGATGACGCTGGCTGGACCCTTTTTAGTTCTGTACTCTGAGTTCTGCTGCAGTGTGGTGGAGAATGAGACAGCCACCTGCATCCACTGGTTCAACATACTCCCTCCACCACCGTCACCCTCAGTCAATCAGCAAGCTGAATGGATACTGATGGAGCCAATAAACCCTGCATCAGTCAACAACCTGTGTTGTCCCTGACATTGCTTTAATCTGATTCTGTGTTTCTTCCCAAGTTTTTGCATGATGTCAGTCACTTTTCTTAATCAGCGAGCAGTCTGTGTTTTCAGTTGTCACTCTGCATGTACTCCGTTGTACTCCAGTAGTGGTGTTGGGCTGTAGCAGCTCACGTGTCGGCTGCATGGTGGGCCAGCAGCAGGAGTCTGTAGAGTGTGTTTCTTTCTGTCTGTTTATGGTGCATGGGCTTGAAGAGACAAAAGGCTGGGGCAGGACGAACCGTGGATTTGTGTTTATACATTCTTCCAACTGAGGAGAAAGGGCCGGACATTTCTATTTGAGGTGATGCTCTCTGGCAGTTCTCCCTCCTCGCGGAGGTTGCTGCAGTAACTCTGGCTTTAATTGGTCATATCATTTCAGAGTTTGTTGAACTATGTTTTCACAGATGACGCGAAGACAACTGGAGTAATCGTATATTTGTATTATAATTCAGAAACTCTGAAATATAGGCCTATTGTATACCATTGTTATACATAAATATTTTGTGTGTGTGTGTGTGTTCACTGCTATCCACTGGCATGGGTTTAGTTGTCGAAGCCTAAGTGTGCATGACTGGTATTTGAATATGGACGTCTGTATCCTAGCTGAGGCAGCTCTGCAGACAGCTGGATGTTTTTTTTCCTTGCATGTTTATTCTTTACGGCTACGTAGTCGATTTAGTTTTGGTGATGGGACTGGTTCAGTTAGCATGGAATCAGCTGCACCTGAGTGCCTCATTGACAAAACGCTGATAGCTGATTTCTTTGTGTTTTATAAACGTTTGCTGTCCTTAACTCGAGTGCTGACATTTCTTGTTCTTGGTGCATGCCAATGGGAGTAGTCACTAGTTATTGAGCTTAGCCGGCCAATAGTGTGCATGTGTAGTCCATGTGAAAGAGAAAGATAATTGTTGTGTTAAAGTTACACTGTACTTCTCTTTGTCTGGAATAAAACTCTGCGCTTTGAAGAAGTCAGTTTCCTGTGCGCTTCCAATGTATCCATGTAAGTGGCTCAACTACAGTTCACTTTGTCTCTACCTGCTTCTCTGTGACCCACCTCATCACTATCAATTCTATATATAGAGTCCTATAGGCCTATATATAGGTGTCAGTGTGTATCACTTACATTTACACCTCTATGCATCTCCACCCTTGCTGTCACTGTGATTGTGTGTACGCTCCATGTCCTCACCCATGATGTCTGTCTGCCACAGGGCGTAACATGTTGGCTTTCATAGACTTCTCGCTTCGACTGGAGGACGCCCCGACACGGCTAATGATAGAAAAACCATTTAGTCGCAAAAGTGAAGTGCACACATTTCCTTCTTTTGCTGCAAATACTGGCCGTGCAGGAAGTGTACAAAGGTCTCTGCATGGTCTCAAGTTTGCGGCTGTAAACCTTGATCTAACATCCTCGATTTATCTTGATCACACAGAACGTTTCATTTTTTTTCCAGGGGACAGTCTGAAGGTCCAAAAGGAAAGATGTAAAAGAGTAACGTGTGTGCTGGCTAAATGATATTTGTAATTTTAGTTGAACTCTTCCATGTCTGTCAGGAGTTAGAAGTTCAAAATAAAGGGAGAATGGTGAACTCAGGTTTTATATTTAGCCCCCATGAAATGTGTGTCGTACAAAAGAATCTGCGGCTTGACTTAGTTTTTCTTCAGTCTCTTGACTTTCTGTAGATTTGTCCACGTTGCAAACCACAGTGTGGAAGGACGATCGTAACTCCTGTAGTGAGTGGACTGTGCTCACACGACCGCGGAGGAGATGGCACGCTGACCGAGACCATGCAGAACCTTTAACACACCCGTTCACTAACTGCTGCTCCAGAGTTGTGTGTCCGTGGCTGATCTTTGTGGCCGGAGTGTTACGGGAAGTGACAGCTCCTCCGCAGCGCAGAGTTTTAGTCAGACATTTTCAACACAAGAATAGCGGCGAATAGAAATGAAGTTGTCTGTGTGTAAAAGTGGTGCAGCTCTGCATGCAAAGGAGTGGGGGGGAGGGGGTATATTATATAAAGAGCGTCATCAACTCTGCATGGATGTGATGAAAAGGGATGAGGAGACAGTTGTGTCTGTGGTTCTGCATGCCTGACCATGCACACTCTCACCCGCCAGTGCTGCTGCCATACACTCGTCCATGGGACACAACTGGCCTTCAACTCATTCTGGCCCCGAGCCTTTTTTTTTTACCATTTCCATAAACACTCTGAACATTCTGAATGATTCAATGCAGCTGTACCATCGCAGTGTGAGAGCCTGAATTGATAAGAGCTTGTTGTTGAATTGGCGACGGCCTGAAGCGAAGGATTACCAGTGCATTGTGTCCCAGTTTTCACAGATGAACCCCCCCGCCCCGCCCCTCCCCTGTTTGCTTTGGATTTGACCAGTCCTCTTTTGTTTTTCGCTATCAGAACTTTCTGTTACTGCATGATTTGGCTCCGGAAACGAATTAATGAATGACATGTGCGAGTATTCGTGTGTGTTTGCTTTGTACATGAGTGAAAACGTAGATAAGGTCGTAAGAAAAGGGGAAAGAGAGTTTGTACTTTGCCCTTTCCGAACCCTCTGCCGTCTTTTGTGTTTTGGCTCCATTCTTTCTCTTTCTCATCCCTTCATTCTCTCATCGCCAGTCATGTTTGTCTCTGTCACTTTGTATTTAATTCTCAAATTGTTTATAACTGTTTTTTTTCTTTTTCTAACTATAATATTCCTTTTGCCATCGTCTGTCTGCCGTACTTAGTTTCCATCTCTTTTCATCTGTTTTGTTTTTCAGTTTTCTGTCTTGTTTTCATTGTGTGACTCTCCGTCAGTATGATCTTTTGTGGTGACTGGTAAAAAATTATAGCCTCTCTCTATAGCCACAGCCATTTTTCAAACACACATACTTCTCTTGTGGCCTAACTTTACCACATAAGAATGAGTCTTGCAACATCTAACCCACAATACCGACCTTGACATTATCAAAGCAACTGCTGTTATTCTGCTCTTATGATGGGGGGTGGAGGGGATTAGTTTCTGCTCTTCGTATCCTGGGAGGTGTTTTTAAACTCGCTGCATCTCAGTCCCTCAGGCTAGGTTTTTGGGGGGTTTAAGGCAAGGTGGCCCCATATCTCCATTCTCCTGTACCATGTCTTCTGTTTCTGTAGAGCACCAAATACCGTCCTGTCACTGATCTGATTGTTGTACTGATGCTCAGAGCATCCTCCTCCTCCTCCTCCTCCTCCTCTCCTCCCTCTTCTCTCTCTGTTCTGAGCTGTTACACTGCTGCTCTCAGGTTTTTTTATTTCACATGGCGGGGTGGGGTGGGGTGGGGGGGACATTTAGGTTTCATTTGTTACCCAGATTATTTGTTTATTTATTATATTTTTTCTGTTTCCCTGACGACTTCTGTGTGTTGTTGTCAGTCTCCACGGTAACCACTCGCTGTTTCTACGGCAACGGTAAGTTGTGTACAAACATCCATCACTGAACTGATCCCCTTCCCACCCCACCCCTGAAATGGGCCTTTTGATACAGTATCATGCACAATCTACAATATTAGTCTTTCTATATTTACCTAATGTGTCCGCCGTAGGCCCAGCGTGATGCCCTGGAAAACTATTGGAATTATGTAATTTATTTTACAGTAGCACAGAGACAGATGGGCACAGCGTCTTTCAACACGTTGGATCTTTTAGCCGTAATATTTTCCCCACATGTCCGTCCCCCACCACGTCATTAACACCTCACTGGGAATGAACGAATGTAATCACCCTCCTCTGTGCAATCACACGGCTATCTACAATACATCTGATTAATTCTCCGTTGGACTCAATGTATGTAGTTTCCTCCTCCTAATGAATTAAAATCAGCAGAAATGATATGAAGCTTTGCTCCCTGTTGCTGCCTACGATTGCTTTGACTGAATGCAGACCCCGAGCTGCAGGGCAAATAACGCTGCTCTGGTTTTGAACTTCTTCACTTCACTGACCTGCCTGCTTTTAGCCTCATACTTTGTCAAAAGTTAGTCAACCGGATACAAAGGGCATCTGAAAAAGCCCCGTCTTTACCACCAAGACAAAGGTCTTGCAAACGTACGCACTCAGACGAGCACTGTGTCTCGTCATTGGAAATGAAATTCTAACTGATCTTGGTAATAAAAGGGAAGATGTTTAGAAACCATGCTGTTGAAGATGTGGATTGGGTTGCACCAGCCATTCATAAATCTCTCACTAAGTTAGAACATAGTGTTCTTCCGAACCTCTTGGGAACAAACTAGTCATTTACTGAATGAGGTTGCCCCATTTAAAGTTTGGACACTTCTTGGCTTGTAAAGATGTTAGAAACTAATGACTTGGTTACTAATGTAAACAGGAAGTCACTGTAGCATCAAGATTAATTCCAATTTTATTTGTACCCTTGTACATGGAGAACTGTGTTTCAGTGTTAGCCGTAATAATACAGTTTAGAAACTGACTTAACTTACAAAGTCAATCTTAAGGTTATTGCCATAATATTTGGTAATTTGAGGTATTTTGTAATTTATTAAAATACCATATAAATGCTTTTAAATTGTGATGTAAATTCTACTCTTCGCTCTTATCGGTTCATGTACTAGCGAGCGAGTTATTTTTGCCAGTTGTTGCGACATCACTTCCACTTGACAGTGGATCTAAATATTTAGGAACATCTCATCGTCTTTTTTTATTTAGCGACGTATAAAACTCCACTTAGTCGACACAAACCAGAAGTTTAAACTTTTATGAACCGCTGGTGCAGCTTGCTGTGTCCCAAATCATTCCCTGTTAAAAACAACAACAACAACAAACTTCTGTTAACAGTCCCACAATGCATTGCACTGCATTTAATATGTTGAAAAATGACTGACAGGGATAATATACATGATAAATGATCATCATCTCAATGCAGGGAGACGTGAATGAGGGAGTGGTTTTGGACACAGCCTTTGTGTCGTGTCACCATATGCATCTCTAAACCGATATGGGGTTTACCTCGCAGTGTTTTTTGGGTCTCTATTATGCTGCCATTTTGTTTTTTCTCTTTTTTGGTTTGGTTTTCTCGTAGTGGATTGTCTGTGTATCAGTAGTTGTAGTTGCAGTGTACTGGTCTCAGTTTGTGACACACAGTTCTAATGCCTGGCATAGTGACTCATGTTTATTTTATTTCTCTCCTTTTTTGGGAATGAGGATTGCTCTCTCTCTATATATCTCTCTTTCTCTCCCTCTCTCTCCCCATCTCTCTCTTTGTCTCTCTCTCCCTCTCTCTCTCTGTTCCCTCCATCCTTTGGTGCTCTGTTTCTCAACCCACCACATATAATGATATTTTCAGGAGAATGGTCACCAAATCTAATTGCTTTATTTGAATGATGCACCTTGGTATATATGTTGTGTTTTTAAACAGTAATTGTTATTAGTTTTTTTTATGTTGCTCATGTAAACTCTCCCTTTTTTCTCTGTCTCTTCACTCCATCTTGACATCCCCCTTGTTTTTGTATATGGACTGGCTCTGTCTCTTTCCCTCTCACCTGCATCCCTTCCTCTTAACTTACCTGTCCCATCTTCGTCTCGTATATGTTTGTATGTGGGAGTTCTGCGATTGTTTTGATTGGTCTCTATGCTGCATCCAACGCTTGCTGATTGGCTGATTTTTTTATCTTTTTATTTTCTCTTTTTGGTTTGTTACTCACTCTTGGTCATGTTATTCGCCCATATTTGGCTGCGTGTAATTTCTGTGTTATATGATTATTAATTTTGTCAAACAAATGTTTTTGCACCCCCCTCTTTCTCTCCCTCTCCCTTGTATTTATTTTTGAAATTTTTCTTTTTAGGTATGTAAACCCCACAAGTTTGGTTTCATATGGAAATGTGACTTCATTTTGTCCCGGTTTACTGTTCAGACTGGACTGGGAGGGCAAAAGTGGGATGAGAAAGGCTGAATGTTTTCTTAATTATTAACACTTTGAGATTGGCCTTCCATATACTCTCTTGATTTGCATGTGTTACTGTCAACCATTCACCCAATTTCATTTAATGTGCATTACACAAACACAGGTACAAGCACTGTACAAACACAGCTGATTGCCCAGTATTGGCTACGATATGATAGAGATACTTCAACAAAAAAAAAAAAACTTCTCACAATTCTGGACAAGTTAATTTGATTCATTAACTCGATCCACATTTTGAAATGTCTCCACCCGGATCCTCGTGGGCAGCCGTATCAGATAGCTCGCCAGGCTAGGCTAATTGAATTGTTTGGCGCTGACCGTCATTTGCAATGAGGGAAAAATGAGGTAAACCTCATTTCCATTTGAATGAAGCCCGGCAGATAAGGAACATGAGTCACGGAGCGAGGCGATGCGTGTGGCAGTCTAGGCCCTAATGGTCTTCTAAATGAGAGCGCTGTGGGTATGTACACACGAGCACTCTGATTTTTCTGTCTCCGTCTTTGACACGCACACACCCCCTCCCACCATCTTGCCAAAAGGTCAATAATCTGTAGCTTGTCACACAGTCAGATGCGGAGCTTCGACAGCACCCTCGGACGGTCTGGGTTATTACGCGGAGCCAGAATCTGCTTCTCGTAAAGCCCATCAAAGGAAGATGAGGATAGATCAAGGCACCGGAGTGTGAGCCTTTGAAGCTCAGAGAAGAGATTAGCAGCCATCTTGAATTGAAGGGCCTAAGCATTAGACTGAAATGTCAGTCAGCGTGCACAGAATTCACATGAATGCTTTTACCTGTGCATGGCAAAAAAAAATAAAAATACAACCCATTAATGTGTGTGGTCCCTGCAGCAACGTAACCAGCGTCGCTCATGGCAGCGCTCAAATCTCTCTCCACTGTGAATCACCAAATCTCTACTGGGCAATTAGTTTTTAATTGCATGATGAATAAAAAAAATCCCCTTAACAGTCTCCGTCCACTTTTACTCACAAATGGACATGTAGCCTTAAAAACACACACACACACACACACACACACACGCACGCACGCACACACACACACACCGATATGTCGGTAAGTCTTCCATTTACCAGATAATAACCAATAACATGTCGGTACATTGCCACGTTAGTTGTTGGTGGGCCCGCATCTTTTACACCATCAAGTTTACAACAAAAGGAGTCGGTTACGTTAGACATCTCATCGGCCAGAGAGTTTGGAGGAAATGTAAACTAGATATTAATTGGGCCATAACTCAAAGTACCAGCAGCGTTCTCCTCTTATAAACAAGTAGGAATAATTGAATACACGAAAACACAATATCAAGATATATAAAACCCAGCATATAACCAATATAATCAATATTTATCAGCCTCGGCCTTGTTATCTAGTAAACATGGAGTTTATGTGCTGCTTTACTTTCCTCTGCTGTGATGTTGTGTCTGTGTCTCTGACCGTCTGCTCCTCCATCCCCAGGTGAATAACGCCACCGCCAGGGTGATGACTAACAAGAAAATGGTCAGCCCTTACCCTAACGGAGAGGCTCTCAGCACACTGCCTTACGGTAACGACCAAACTGACTCACACTAACGATGCAGAGCGGCCCGACTGATAGTCCAGACAGCACAGGTGCACGGGGAGGCAGGATAGACGAGCCCTGTAGGCTCCACTGTAGACCATCAGCAAAACCTCACTCATGCATCTTATTTTAGGCTCATTATTTTTGCTACCACCTACCAGCCATGATGTCGGCTGACTTTAAAATTCCGCTCACATTCGGCTCCAGATTCAACACGACGGCGTGCAGGGGGGAAAAAAAAGAACAAGTGATGCAACCGACAGAGGTGTTATAAATAATCCTTCATTAAAGGGACAGGTTACAGAGTTATCCTGATTAAATACGAACCATGAATACCAAGAATAAAGATGAATAACTGAACTGATAAAAAACATTTTGCTATAGTGTGTTGAGGCAACTAAGCGCCTATGCTCCCTTATTCATTCTTTGCCCCTCCTCTCTTTGTGTGACTGTCAGCGGGGTGGAAACTGAGTCCGATGGTGAGTGCCATGTACGGACCCGAGCTGTACGCAGGTAAGAGAACTTCATATCCATCTTCTGCACCCACACTGAAAACTGCCTGTACACCCCATCTTACCTTTTAGTCACATCCCAATCTTTTATTCATATTAATGCACCTCTTGCCTGGTGCTTCTCCTCACTGACACTTTCAGTGATATCAAGCCCTTAAGGCCGTATGTGTTTTATTCCCTTTTGTTTTCGCTCCTTTATTCATCGTTCTTCTCCCACCCATCCTTCTTTCCTAATTGCCTCGCCGTCACTCCTACTTTCTCTGCTGTCCTCCACCTCCTTGCTTACTCTTTTCATCCTCCTCCTCCTCCTCCAGTCCCAGGGTTCCCCTACTCTTCAGCAGCAGCGGCAGCCACAACAGCAGCGGCAGCGTTCCGCGGCGCCCACCTTAGGGGCCGAGGTCGGCCCGTCTACAGCGCCGTACGGGCTGCCGTGCCTCAGCCCGCCATCCCCGCGTACCCTGGGTAAGGATTGTTTGCCGCCTCAACGAGAGCAGTTGACTTTACACACTTACAGAAAACACACCGGGGATGAAATGGTTAAAGTCTGTCGTCGTGTTTACTGCCTGGTAAATCCGGCGAGGAGCACCTCATGAATACGTTTTTATAAATCTGTTTGACCAGGTCTCTGTTGAATACAGCTGTGCTCATACACCTCTCATGCTCAAACATTATTCACACTCTACTCTGCAGCGGTCCAGCTGGCACATTGTCAGTCAGTTCACAAGCTATTCAGTCGAGTATGACACACTGATGGGATTGCACCATTTGAAGGTTCATTTGAATAAACACACAGATACCAGCCTCGGCAGATTTGCATAAACACACACACACAAAACCACATTCAGTGATTATGCAGACGCAGTCACCCTGCTCACAGATTTGCGACAAATTATTCACGTTTCCAGTGATGTGTTTTTTTTTTTGTGTGCCTTCAGTACTTGAACTGTGCATGTCGTTGCTGTGCTGTGATGATTTGCTAATGGGGTTACGACTGCCGCAATATTCACATCAAAGCAGGATTGATTGGTTAATGGCCGTGCGGTCGCTTACTCTGACAACGTTGAAAAAAACGAGCTAAACAAGGTGAAATTGGGGGCTGTCGGAAATACCGTCTCCATGTCTGCTCCGCTGAGAACTGCACCTCTCAGACATTATGACATTATAACGATCCGCTCAGAGTGGCCTCCGCTGCCTCGATGTTCTCGTAGCTGGGGAATAAAAGCACTTCATGGTCTCAGTTCAGCACGATGAACTTTATCTATCGGCCCCACGAGTCTGTTGTTTAATGTTTTTTGGTTGCAGTTGTGGAGCCTGAATGGAAACTGTATTTCCTCTGCATGCTGCATGGGTGTGAAATAATCTCTCTCTCTCTCTCTCTCTCTCTCTCTTCTCTCTCCCTCTCTCTCTCTTCATTTTGTTTTTGCTGTGACATCATCCACTCTGTTTTTTTTGGGACTGTGCACCACTCCATTTGCACCCCACCCCCCTCCTCTCTCTACCGGTTTCCTCTTCTCTCAGCGTGGTGTATCAGGATGGGTTTTACGGAGCTGCGGACTTGTATGTAAGTAAACTCACCTCCCAGCGACACACCCCTCTCTGTCCCTCCCCCCTCACACCTCTCTCCTCCTGCTCTTCCTCCTTTTTTCTCTCTGGGGGTGATTCTGCATGTGCCGTCCAGTCATGCCCTGCACAGAGCTGCCTGCATAAAGGTGAATGAGCCCACAATAAAAAAAAATAAAAAAAACGAGCACAACACACCACAGAGATTCCTTTTTGATGCGAGGTGTTATTTCTTTGGTGTCGTCTGTTGTGACAAAAACATCTTTTATCATGCAGGTTGGAACAGGTTGATTTAAAACTGATAAGAGGGCGACTGTGAAGGATCGAGGGTCTCACCATCACAAAGGCTGCTCTGTGGGCAGATGCGGCTGTGTGCATCAGTGTGCGAGTGTGCGAACATATGAACAAGTGTGCGTGTGCGTGCGTGTGTGTGTGTGTGTGTATCCAGGTTGACAACGGTTGTTTCTGTTCTCTCTTTAGACTAGTGTTTCAGGACTCAGTCCTTAGTCCCAGATTGCCTCAGGTAGGGTCAACTCAACACCAAACCCACAGTGTGCCTTGTTTTACTCTACTACTTCCTCTGGCCTTATGAATCATCTTCTGATCTGATCTGGAACATCTTGTGTTTTTGTTGTTAAAACAAATTTACCGCTCCTTTTGAATTTGCTTCTTTTTTTTCTTTTTTTTTCTCCTTACTAACTCACTGAAGTGTGTATTTTTCTCCTGATTGTACGAGAAAGGCTTTGTTTGTTTACTAAACTACTAAATTGTTCCTTCCGAGTGTATATTTTTCCGTCCAGTGTGTTCGAAAGAGAGCCTGGTCTCATCCTTCCTTTGACCAGAAACAATTCACCCACATTCGATGAATATAAATCTGAATTCCTTCATTAATTCCTTTCAAATTGGAAGCTTCCATTCTGCAGCAAAGGTCCAGTCTGTGTCAGCCCGGGTTGCGAGATGCTCTCAAATCCTTAATAGCTGAAACTGAGAACACGGTCTCTTCCTGATTAACCCCCCCCCCCGACCCCTCCTAGGATGATTACTGTAGCATGTGCTGATCAGCTGCTGCATGCAGACGTTCTCTACTACAGCTCCATGTCGTTCCTCTCCCTCCACTCACCCAGAAGGCCTTGCTCTTTTTCCACCCCCTTTAATAAGCCAGTTTTTTCCGTCCCGCCCTTCTGCCTCTGCTCCATCCCCCCCCCCCCGTGCGTCTCAGAGAATGCCGGCGAGTGTGTGGGGGTGGGGGGGGGTTCTGTTGTGCTTTGCTGTGCTCTGTTCTGATCGGGTACAAATGCAGTGGTGTTGTGTTGAATTATAATTTGGGGCGTGCATGCAGTGTCAGTGCGAGGAGGTGATTTTTTTAGCGTCAGGCCTGTGTGGACGTGTTTGTTCGTGTGTGTCCCCCCCCCCCTTCCATCTTCCTCTCTGTTTTCCATCTCCTGAATTTAAAGAACACAAAATAATAATAACGCTGTATGTGCCATAAATACGTCAGAGTCCAGCAGTGTCCTCAAACTGTTGGTGATCGGACTTGAGGCTTCTATACGACCTCAGCT